ATAAATCCAGATTAATAATCCATAAAATTGACCAGATTTAAAGCAGAGTACATCATTTGGAAATTGTAATATGTGAATTAAGAATTGTTGTTTGTTATCAAATCAAATCGTTAATGTTGGGGCTGACTAATATGAAGTTAATATCAGATGGGTTTTTTGTGGAGATTGTAGTAATTTCAATGGTTAAGATCATGAGTCAGTTGAAGCTAGACTGTTGTTAACTTGAATCAGTTTATAAGCGGAATGAAATTGTGCGACAAATGATCAGGATAAATATGGTCAACATGGGGTGAGAAAGAGAGAGAATAATGGAATAAAAATCGGAAATTACGTAATATGTAGAATAATATGAATTAGGTCAGATATAGTAGATAGGGGTGGATAGTGAATAAATTCCTCAAAAACGTTATCAAGTGTAATGATAATAATAGCAGTGATAAAGATGGTAATAATAATGGTAAAGCTAATCATAATAATAGTAATAATAAGTTTGGGACATACAATGAACGTTAATCAAATTACATCACCATATTATAAAATTGATTACTAGCTGGTTGGCCCTGAAGTTGGCCAGGGTAAAAGGAGTGGCTGAACATATTTCTTTTGGATGTAAAGCTCTGTTTTTTTGATCTGAATAGCAATAGCTTCAGACGTCTGTAGGATTCTCAGTTTGACGGAATTAGGTAGACTGCTGTTAACACGATATATTATTGAGAAAGATTGCTCCATGTTGGCTGTATGTCCTGTCTGAACTCGATGGTCTAAAATGGAGCTATCTATATGAACACCAGCTGGCAACAAATTGTCATAGAAACACTACAAATTCAACGGGTGAATTCCCGAAAACCTGGCATTCAAGTTACCCAGAATTTAATCAGTACACTGATTTATCCTATCAGCTATTTATTAATAAATAAATAATTAAAAAGTCAGAGATCAGGTCAGTGAAAGCAATCAATTAAAGTAAGTGTCCAACCAATGACATTACAATAATAGACATTCCATGTAGATAAGAAAAGCTGTTGATTCTAACAGTTCGCTTCCTTTTGTAATATAATAAAGACTTCATTAACAAACTAACCAGCCCAGGAATTAAAATACTGTTAAGGAACCACGAATAATATTTCAACATCAGAACTAATTATGCAATTATTATTGTATTTGAATAAAACAAAATATTAAGAAGAAATCAGCTCAGTGAAAAACAATTCAGAATAAATGCTGTGGAGATTATTAAGTTTTTGGTTGAGATCATGAACCGATTGATGTTAGACCACCATTGAAATCCTGGAAGCACTGGACGGCCGTTTCATTATGCCAAGGACGATTTCATGCATAACACTATTTACCCTTTAAACATAAAATTTTCTTTAAACGAAGAAAAAGTACTCAATGCTTAAACTACAATTTCATATTTAAAGCATTATCCTGAATTTATTTACTTGAGACTTGATTCTCATATCTTTGTTCTTAGAAAAATCCTTGACAAATCAAATAATTCAATTATCAGTTACCAAATATCTGAAATATTGGTTATGTTAGATAAGAAAATTCCTTTAAAAAAATACTGCAGAATCAAAACATTTTATTGGTTTTCGACTTTATACTACTTAAATACACAATTTTGATAGTAATCAATAATTTCCAACAAACTTATCACATGGATTTCTATGAAAAACTTTATTAACATATTGCCTTTGATTGTTTAAAATTTGGTACAATGAGACAAGCTCATTTATAAATATTATGAAAAAAACATCACTAGTTAATCAATAAAATGGGATACTGTTAACTGAAATACAAAGTTTTCGTTTTATAATTTTGTTGTTGTTGCTAGATTGACAGTTTAACAAACTCTTCAATCATAAATCTGGATAACCTTCTCTAATAATATGTTTCTCAATATTTGAAAATAAGCTCTTTCTTTAGTTAATTATTTTGCTATTGAAAACAGTAGATTATATGATTATACATCAGTTGAATATTAATTTTTAAAGGACAATTTATCGTAAACAACTTAATAGAACGCGATTATAGTCTATAAACAATATGATTGATGTATTTTTAAAGAGAGTAATGTGATAAATATAAACAGATTGAATATACTTCAGTTTACTGTTATTTAGAATGACAAATAACAATAGTTGGGATGTTAATTATTGAATAAACGCATAGTACATATTACAATATATGAAATCAAACAATTGATCAAATAAGAGAATAATAAAATGTGAGGAAAATTAAAAAGATATTTCAACAATATGGTTAACGATTAGTGATGCTTTTGTTGAAGCTATCCAAGTAAACAAAATTACTGATTACTTATTTCCAGAAAATAAAATAACGTGGCGAGACTATAATTTATGGACGACTTATGAACAAATCTTCACTGACCTTGAGGAATATTAGCCAATAAGAAAACAGTTAGTAAAGAGTACAAGTATATTTTACCAAACCAAAGAATTAAAGTGGATACACTTCTTTTACATGGTTCAAAAATTTGTTAAAGTTAGAAAGAGGTTCGTACGTTCTAAAATAGTAATGCATATGGTAGAGGAAATCATCCATATGGCTCCATAATAGTCAGCCTCTGGAGCCATTATAAGGTCGCGAAAACTCTTTCAGCTTCGATCGCATAGCTTCAATATTGTTTGTATGCACCCCGGTTGTTGAGTCTATAAAATGCCACGTGTGGATAACGACACGATGCACATAACCAAGTCTATATAGGCATCTGTACGCTCTCGGATCATCCGTATATATATAGTAGTACCTGGCTGCAACCAGTGTTACTGGTGCTTCTATTATCCAGTTCGCAACAATTGTCATGATTTGCCTTGATCTCAATCTGGATTGAGAGAAAAAGGTTTTATTCTTGCAGACTTCTTCCTCCAATACATATCACATCGAAAGACAACATCATCACGAAAGTCTGCACAAGGTCCACAAGTTATTTGATTACCACAATCACAAATAAAGTAACTTCTTAGTAGTCCGATATGTTTTAGTCGCTCAATCATCACGTTTTCTCTAAAATCCGCTGTGAACCGATCGTACGTGAGCATCAAGTACGGAAATTGGTAACGTGACCTCAAACACTTCTGATTGGCTCGTTCATAAATTATAGTCTCACCTATAACGTAATCACATCTACCGAGGGAAAAGATTAACGTTCACAGATTCATACACACCATACTACTGATTGTAAGTATACGAAATGAATGGACTTGATAGAGTTTTAGTAATAAAAAGTAATGAATAGTTATGTCAGATCAAGCGAAAGGTCACATAATGTTTATTCAAGATGAATAATTATGGGTATCTTTCAAAACTACACACTTTACATTTCTCTACTAAGCAATACTTACTTTATTGTAATAGATGTACAAATCTCTAACAAATTTTATTTCAGTACTGATTTTTATACTTTAGAAAATATTCTAGATGAAAAGCGAACGGTACTGGGTTCAAGTCTCAGAGTAAACATCAACTATGAGATGCAGGTACATCCAACTGTCAAGTCCCAAATAGGACGAAACGGGCGTCTAACTGGATTCCACTGCTAGCCACTATCTATGTTTGCTTAGAAAGCTTGTTAATTAAGGCAATATCGAGGCATTACGTACAGTATACACATATGTCGATAAGAGACTGATCAATTTCAGTCCTAAACATCAGTGGGAAGTAAACAGTATCAAGTGAATCTAAATGAGACTAGTTTGAAAATATAGTAAGTGTTGTGATATGTTTATTGGTTATTACTATCATTTTATTTGATTCAGTGCTTTAAAATCTATCTAAATAACATACATATACATGTATAATTAACAAACAGGAGCAATGACTAGCAAAGTTCAACCGGGTCTCTTATGAGAAAGTAGCTCACTGATGACAATGGTGGATGTGTCGCTCAATTTCTTGGATTAGTTGAAGTTAGACATGAACGCCGTCGGATGCTGGCTTGGTGTTCTAGATGTTAAGCGCTCTCTCGCGAGACTGATAGGTCCTGGGTTCGAATCTTGCGAGGATGGGTCCTGGATGTGCACTGCTGAGGCATTCCATAATAGAACAAAACGGCCGTCCAGTGCTTCGACGCTTTCCATGGTGGTCTATTGTCAATCGATTCATGATTTCAATTACTGAAATTACTACAATCTCCACAAAACTCCTTCTGATACTAAACAATTGAAACCTTGTTAAATAAGATGTAACCAATGGTTTTTCATCGGTTTTTTTAATTCTTTATCACTTATGAATATTGACAATATCAACATGTAATAATCACAATATTCAATAATGAAAATTAAAATCTGTTAAAGGATGTTTTTTGTATAAAAAAAGAGATTATTATTAAAGTGAAAAGAAAAAAAATACCTGAAAATAAGAATTGGTATGCTGTAAAAAGTAAACGGACTGGAAACAAACTGGATTAAATTTTTTTACTATTTCATTTGATATTTGTTTCAGGAAATGTATATTCTAACCATTTCACTTCTATTTTACATTTATTTGTTTTTTTCTCACATCGTAAATATTTCTGAATTTTTTTATTTTCAAGATTTGACATAATAGTTATGTAAATACAATTATAGATCACTAACATATATGATCTTCTGTGTTGAATGATTGAGGGCTTACTCGAGTTAGATGGGAATAGTGTGACGAACCAGCTAACTTTGAAGTAACACTTCATGGTCAGTAACAAATGTGGAATACAATTTCGTCGTATCAACGTACTATTGGCTGCTTCGAAGACCGTATGATGCAAGGGATGTTATTATAGAAATGTATTGGTAAAAGTAGGTACAATGGAGAAGTTGCGACCACCGTTATATGGACCAGTTCATGGTGTGCGATTAATTGATGCGCGTTAGTTTTCCTTGAACTTAACAAGGATCGGTGATCTGTTCGATATTCTGTTACCTGACTGTCGTATGATTTGGCTAGGGCATAGTGACATTTCACTGGCCCTATACAACACAATAAAGAATTATGTTCAACTACAAATTAATCTCGAAACTATTTCTGCATAAAATTAAACATTTTAATTTGAATATACTGATGTATAGTGTTTGACCATGGATCTAAAGGATGATAGAATATCTTCTTTTTTATTAGGACAGTTGGCAAAGAATCATATTGGTTATCGGTAAATAGATGAGTAAATAGTTAGTTAATTGTAGAGAGAATATTATAGAGGATAAATAAGTTTCAAAAATAACACATTCATCTAAATAAGTGTAAAAAGTGAATTTGTCAACTCATTGTACAAAACATCACAATATTGTTATATATTCCCTTGATATGTATAGTGCGAATGTACTTTTTGTGTCGATCAATTTGAGTGTAGCTTGATTATTGTAATGTTGGTTATTTTTTCTGTTAGGCTTTTGAGTAATAACGACAAACGTCTTCTTAATACAGCTGTACTAAAAACAAGAATACATGGATTTGACATATATCCCAATAATATAAGTAATGTACTCATTTGTTCAATTGGACTGTCAAAGCTATATCGAAAAATTCCGGTTACTTCCAATATTTGACCTATACATTCAAAAAAGTGTAAAACAGTTTGCTGAATAGACAAAATTGACGTGGTGATTACAAGTTGACTTATTCTACGTTTAATTTGTAAATTAGACTGCATATCACGTGATAAAAAATGACGAGATGAGTTATGTCCTCTTAAAGTATGTATTACCCAAGCATGACTGATGAGCATGACTAGAACGGGTACATAATAAGCAAATATAACCCAGGAATATACAAAATACTCAACAAATGCATTTGTATCGATCCATGGAACAGAAAAATCCATTACACAACGATTATCAGTATATCGACGAAGAAGTGGTGTAGGGATATATAAAACCAAAACCATAGAAACCATATATACAAAGTATATTATAAAGAACTTTTTCGTATATGATTTAAGTGATCTAAGAAATATGACAGAACTCACTCGGTCCAATGATATACAAACCAGATTTTGCACACTTAAGATACATGGCAACCAGAATAGTGAATTCTGAAACCAAAAATGGCATAAAATTATATCAATAATATATAATCCTGTAGGTTTATCATAACCTTTAGTAAATTGAATGATATAATATATTGTTGTTACGAAACATGCACTTAAATCAAATATTGGTTGTGCTCTAAATACAAATGTAGTAAATTTTGAACCGAATTGTGAAGTGAACACAACAGTGATAGCCACAATATTGAATATTGTGCCAAATATTCCTTCAATTGTAATAATAATTTGAGCAGGTAAGGTAAAATCAATGGTATTATTCATTATTTAATTTTTCTGCTGTTATAATGAATATGGAGTTATAAGGTGTTAGAGTTTGTTGAAATAGATTGTTACGTTAAACAAGTTGAAAACTGGATATTTGATAAACTACTTCCTAACTTTATATATATCTATATCATAGTTATTATAACCAATCAGATGTACACTTAGAATAGTCTAATGTATTATAAAATATTGTCTAGCCGGTAGATCATTCAAAGTGTTGATTATTTATAAACTATATATGGAGATATTTTTATTGTTTTCATTGTTCTATGGTTCATTTTGATCATACGAACAAATGTTTATCGAAATAAACATTCAAATTCCTATTTCAGTGATTAATAGTCAATAGTGAACTGATAGGGATCATTAAATTCCTTTTTTTATTTTATTAAACAATGAAAATATTTACAAAAATTAAAAAAAATGTTTTCCATTTACTATTATTCTTTTTTTTAATATCAGACAAATTATTAGTAAACAGGGATAAAATAATTTAGTGCTGATCGATGTCCTCTCTTTTTCTCTTTCTCTCTCTCTCTCTCTTTCTTCTGAATCAAGGATGACTATTTTACAATGAAAATTGAAATTGCAAAATTGAAATAGATTTTAAGATAAAAAGAAATGAAAGACTTGGAGGCAAACAAGGAAAAAATGTAATTAGGCATCTAGACGTATTTAGAACTAAGTAGGAGTTTCTGTTGTTTATCATTACAGAATGTATTTTCTATTTGATTTTCTTGTTTGTTTATTTTATTTTTTGATGATTTTACTTCATCTATATACATTATAACTTCATTTGGCAATTACTCTCAAATTAGCACGAATGTATACACATAATTTATATTAGGTGAACTGAATTATTTTTTCTTCCGAAATTTGAAATCTAGACATATTCATTTCAACTGTATGATAAATCATTAGTTAAGTATATAAATTAGGTTGAATTTCTTTATATAAGAATCATGATTTAACAGTGTATAATACAAGTTATTTCTGCCATAAATTCTAACTTTATTTATTTGTATCAGAAGTGGTTTTGTGGATATTATAGTAATTTTAATAGTTGAGATAATGATGTGGATGTGTCGCTCAATTTCTTGGATTAGTTGAAGTTAAATATTAACATGATTGGATGCTGGCTCAGTGGTCTAGTGGTTAAGCGTTTGCGTGAGACTGATAGGTCCTGGGTTCGAATCCCGCGGGGGGCCGGACCGTGGGTGAGCACGTCTGAAGAGTCCCACACTAGAACGAAACGGCCGTCCAATGCTTCGAGGTTTTTCTTGGTAGTCTAGCTTCGATTGACTCATGATTTCAACTATTCAAACATTAATTGTTTAAGAAACTGAGATTTTCATGAGCAATTAATATGTAGGAGAAGATTAGTTTTACAACTGAATTCAAATTGACATGACTTTACTCAAGATGTTACCGATAGCTGACATAGATCAACTTGACAACGAAAATAGATAAAAACTATTTTTCAATTCACTGATTTTTAGATAATTTGCTCACATTCAGTAAACATCAAAAGATGAATGAATTACATTGATTAATCATTAACCTTGTGTATGAACATAATTTATAAAATCATAGAGTCAAACTGCTGTAGAAATAAATACCACGAATTTTCAGAGTCATGTGCTTACTTGTATTTAACATTTGGGAATGCGATGTTTATCTTGCTTGATTATAACTGTCGACAGACTGGAGAAATCTAGACGTGCAATGTGGCCTTGAAAAAGTCAAATATCTAGACTGCCATCTCAGGGTTATGTGATATGTGAAGCATTATAGACAAAACATTCTATAGGAGGATGAATAAAATATACCGAATCAAGGTCTCAACCTACATTCCCTTAATTGCATCATAAGGACATATATTAATATCAGAGATTAGTATACATATTCGTTCATTTTGTCAATTTAAGCTTCCTAGTCACTTATCAATCTTCTCATTTGCATGACTGCTCGGAAAAATGTATACCAAAAGAATGTATTTCAACCGCATTTCGTGGATTATAACAACCACATCTATGAAATGATTTTAGCTCTTAAATATGTTCAACATGATGTCTAAATATTCATTCATATTATTTTGCATATCACTTATCTACGAATGTAACTTGCCTATAAGTCTAGAATGAGAAACGGATACAGTGAGAATTATCAACGAAACTTATTTTCATCTGGTTCGCAATTTTATTGGAAATATAAACAGATTCTTAGATTCAGAATATTCTTTCACTGCATTCTCATTCTCTGTTGTACAGTTGTTACTGGTGCCTTGTGTTTATTATCGCAATAATATCTTATGCATGCATTGAAACTAGGAGATTATGCTTGATGAGAAAACACTTGAGTTTACTCTGGATTCAAAGTAATTGTTTTGTCGGGAAAAAAAACAAAGTCCTTGAGTTTATGGGGTCCCGTATGATAGGATAACAATCATATGACCTCTCTCTAGACCAATTATTGATTAGTTCATCTATATTGCTAGTAAGACCGGTAACTATTCTTGGATTGACACACTTACCAGTGAATAACAAATAAGATCTTAAGGTTAATTGTTCCTCGAGCACCTTCTAGCCGAGTGGCCAACCAGAAGATGAGGATAGAAAATAGGTCAGTTCTCTGAAGTACTCAATTTAATCATGTTACACAACTCATACAATAATATAATTGAAGTGTTTGACCACACAGAAACGCAATCAAGGAATTACATAACTTATACAGATGATACAAAACCAGGGTAGTAGGGAATAATTAACTAATGATAAATCTGAAATAAAAAGTTATCTGATAGCGATTTATGAATCAAACGAAAGCTTGATAATAAGAGAATGTATAAATACAGTCTAAGCCTCTACTATTCATCGTGTAATTACTTAGTGAATATGAACTGTGAAGCCTACTTCATAAAATTGATTCTATACAAAATGTATATAATTGGATTTTTGGCTTCCTGATAGACTCAGTGGAGAATCATTCGTCTAGATTGTAGAAGTTCGTAATATGATAACCATAATAGCACATGAGCATTAGTCAACTCACTTGAATATTGACTTAACCGAGTTTGTAAACGTGAATGTTTTAGGTTTATTTAGAGAAGTATGGTATTTAGTGTGATATTTTCAACAAAAAAACTATACTTATGAATTGTAGTAGTAATGATTAGGTGATTTTTTACAGCTTAACAATTTTTACTTATCTGAGAATACCAGATTTTCATCAACGGTTATCTCCAGTAAATGAAATCATTTCATATACTTAGCCAATCAGTTAAGCTTAACATAAAACCTGATACAAGTCTATATCATGCTGATTTTCTATAATCCACATCAACAAATTCAAAACAAATTAACGAGAAAAAACCTGTGAAAAAAATGCAAATTATACTATGATGTCTAACGTTTCATCAAACTTAGGAAAGAATTGTGATCAAGAATGAAGTATGGGTTGTAAAGCTGATTTCAAGATTTAAATCGAATCGTTACATAATAGCACGATTTGTCTTAGTAACTCACTGGCTAATAAAAGTTTCAAGACGAATGAGGCGGTCTGTGAGCTTAACCACTCTATTCTCTCAAGCCAACTTATGAAGTTAGTGAAAAGCATTCCTGAGGTAACATTTAGAATAGCATCAGTGTAACTCCTTTTGTGTGTAAGGTATTTTCGTCTTCATGACCAGAGTACAACTAAATCTCTCTCGAAGTCAATCATTTTTCTTCAGCTTGGATCCAATGTTTTTCTGCTGATTCCGAGCACCATCATGTTGTATCTCCTAATTTCCTTAGCTATTTGTCTCGTCCTCCCTGTCTTCCACATTGTCCGAACGTTCCATGTAGTTATATTAATTGTTGCTCTGTTTGTTAGAATGGACATCGGTCTTGTGGTTTTCGAAGAATCTCGACTTACACTATGAGGCGTCATAATTCTTCTAAATGAAGATCCTTCAAATCGGAGGGAAGAGATTGAATTTTTTGAATTGTTTATTCTGGTTAGAGTTTTTCTAACAAGTTTGTTTTCTACCAGATGAGTTTGCTAACCTCATGTGCAAACTCCCTCCTTTATCCGGTCTTGGGACCATCAGAAACCCTAGATGAGCTACAAGTGGAGTGTGTCTGCTTATTGCTCCATCCAAATTCACCACTGATTTGTATTGTATATTTGATATCCATACAATATTTCGTCTACCATTCAAATTATTGTAAATGAAGTTCTGATTGGTCATTAAAGCTATAAAATATACAAGATTGAGAATAATTTGTCCAATATCAAGTTATAAACTTATTCAAATGTAAATCAATCTTTCATTTTATATTTTTATCTTTATTATAATAAACAGTAAACAACATAAACAGACTTAAACAATGAATGGGACTATTTACATTAGCTTACCTATTCGGATTATTATTACGACTGAAGGAATATTTGGCATAATATTAAATATTGTGGCCATCACTGTTGTGTTCACTTCACAATTCGGTTCAAAATTTACTACATTTGTATTTAGAGCACAACCAATATTTGACTTAAGTGCATGTTTCTCAACAGCAATGTACTATATGATTCAATCTATACCATCTGTCAATAACGGAACTGGAATATATATTATAGATGTCATAATTTGTCATTTTTGGTTTAGAAATGGATTATTCTGGTTGCCATGTATCTTAAGTGTGCAAAATCTGGTTTGTATATCATTGGATCGAGCGAGTTCTGTCCTATTTCTTGGATCCTTCAAAACGTATACGAATAGATTTTTCCTATTATACTTTCTTTACATGCTCACTATGCTTTTGATTTTGTACATACCAACACCACTTCTTCGTCGTTATACCGATGGCCAATGTGTTATGGATTTTTCATTCCCTTGGATTCAAACGAAAGTATTTCTTGGTTATATTGTGTATTCATGGGTTGTGTTTTCTTATTTTGTTCCAGTTTTGGTCACATTAGTTAGCCATGCATGGATCATACATGTATTAAAAATATCT